TTTGTTTGTGGGTATCCGTGACTGATAAAGAAGCCGAAGCCATATTATCGGTGTGCTGTGTAGAGCGACAGCGGCTTAATTGGCTAGCTAGTGAGGGTCAATACAGATACAGATAAGATGTTACATACCTGCCCGGAGAGTGTTCATGTAATAATAAATACTGCTATCGCAAGCTAATAAATGTGTAACACACGTGTGCTCTGGACGGAGGTCGAACTCGTACTGTATTATTATTTATTTTTTGTAAATAGATAATATGTATATGTTGTTTTTATAACTATTTCTTTTCTTAAATCCCGCTAATAATGTCATAAGTAATATTTTAATTTTCTAGCTGTTATAATTTATAATCTGTTGTTAAATTAATGTAATTGATAATTGTTTAGCTATAAACACTTATGCTAAAATCTATAATAAACTTAAAAATAAATAACAGTTATAATAGGATGTGCTTACTTAAATCAACAGTACATAATAATTGACAAATAATATTCATCTCTTCATTAACTAATCCATTATGTTGGACAATATCTTTAAAATCATTTAGATAGTTACTAAATAATATGTTAGTTGACAGCTTGTTTCTTTCTATAACAAATACAAAATAGTTGCAGTTTATGTTTTAGATTAATAATGTATGAGTACCTAATTACTAATCATATAATATAAAAGTACACAAATGTTTTATTAGTATATTAGTATTTATTGTGTATAGTTACAACTACCTAAAAGAAATCAAAAAGTTATGATACATTATTTAGTGCAAATTGAAATTTTTTTATAAGAAGAAGTCACTTACATCTTTAACAAAAAATTATATAAATGTACTCAATTTAAGATAAACTTGTATACCTTGTATCTATTTAATTTAATTAATAACATTTATAACACATTCAATTTATGTAAAAAGAAAATGAATAGTAGCAAAAAAGTTAAATAGGACTTAGATTTAGGAAAACTTACCAATGCTTTGTGACAATTCTTTGAAAAACATACTACGGTCATAGTAATATTCTTCTTCTTGACCACTCATTATAGCGTGTTTTATTACAACTTGTAATAGGTACAGATACGAAATAAAGCAATATTTAAATATTAAATAATAAAGTAGTATTAATCACTGTCATAATAGTAATGTGGTATATCCAGTATTAAAAAGATTGTTTTCCCCTGGTAAATTCAACAGTTGAAGTTGTTAAAAGTTAAAAGTTTAAAATCGCGAATCGAGTACCGAGTACTGAATAGTGAATAGAGATCATAGAGACTGTATAGACGTATACTGTATAATGACAAACTGACAACACACTCAACACAGGCACAGGCGATCAACAATAGTCAAGACTCAAGAATCCTGCGCAGTATTAAGTTTGATACCTAGTTGCTGCAAAGTGCAAATTGACGACTACAACTTACGGTTCTGTGCTACAAACAATAAGCCAATGATACAGAATGCCAGGAATAAATAATAATTAATAATGAAAAATAACACAGATTAATATTTTATAACTGTGAAAAATAACGAATTTTCCTTATCAAATTTGTCAATTATCTCTGTGCCCAAATACCGTGTTAGCGGTAAACTGGTAACATAATCGTTTGTTTTTCGTTCTCGAAATTCTCCCACTTTTTACTAGTTATCGTTCGGTTTGTTCGGTGCCAAGTGCTTACTGCTTATAAATGCTTATTATATTATGTTAATATGTTATACTTGTTATAGACACTACGATTCTGGTTCTTTAACAGTTTAACGTTCTCGCGGCTTTCTAGTCATCCGATTTTATTATTTTTGACTTGTTTTTATTGAATATATTATTATTTTTGAAGTTTCCTAAGATATTACTTTGCATAATAACGTTCAAATTTCTACATTTGAAACAAGTTGTGACGAAAAAAACTGGACCAGTGAATGTTATCATCGTAAAAATATCATTGAAATGATATAAAAAGAAAAACATTGAATAAATTCAGACTTAGTATTTGAAGAACTAGTGCACGGGTATAATTGTTATAATATAAACTAATATTACTATCTCATATGTTTTACTGATCTCTATATATTTTAGTGTTACTGTTCTATAGTCAAACATAAACAATGAGTTACGGCGATTCTGAAGCTAAAATGAATCTCTCTGCTTTGCAAAGAGTAGATCCATATGTTGATAGTATTGTACAAACAGCGGGACACGTTGCTCTGTATTCATTTAATGCAGAAGCAAATGCATGGCAAAAAACTAATGTAGAAGGCACTTTACATGTGTATACACGATCTGCTGAACCTTTGCACAGTATTATGATAATGAATAGATTAAATACGAACAATTTGATGGAACCAATTGAAAACGGCCTAGATCTTCAACTTCAAGAGCCATTTTTACTATACAGAAACTGTGGAGGCTCGATTTATGGTATTTGGTTTTATGACAAAGAAGAATGTGCAAAAATTTCTAATATATTGAAATCATTGATCAAAAATTTGATAGTAAAACAAAATGATAAGATTAACAAACATGAAACTAGTTCCACCAAAAGTATTGATCTTGTTTCAATGCTTAGTCGGGCACAAGAGGATTATAGGTAATTATTTAATTTAGATTTAACACATGGGTATAAAACAAAATATATCAGTTTTTTTTTTAAATAAAACATTTTAAAATCTTAATACATATTATTGAAATGAATCATTCTAACAATCATTCATTTTCAATTTGAAATACTCAAAATTCAATGACTTAAGTAAAATCTTAACTTTGATAATACAATGTTTAAAAATTATAGAAAAAAATCAAGAAAAAATCAATATTTTTGTGATTATCCTAACTAAATAAAAATTATGTACCTGGTGGCTGGTGATGCTTTTATTATTTGAAACTCATTATATCAAAAAGTATACAAAAAATAAATGTATAGTCTATTTTTTAAAAACAACATTTAAAATGTATATATATGTATTTTTAATCCTCAAATTTTTTTAAGGAAAATATACTGTTTTAATTTTCTAATGAAAAAGCAGAACATTTGTCAAAGTATTTCAATATTTAAAAATTGAATTTAGGATGAGTAATTTATGAGTTATAAATATTTTAAGTTTAGATAAGCTGAGTAGCTAACCAACATTTTGTGAGGTAACCTGTGGTTGCTGTTAAAAAACTTATTTTTATCAACTAGGCACCATATACAATATTTTTTCAAAAACATATATACCTATTTGAAATAATGAATGTTCTATGGTATTAGAACCACCCAGTTATTCCGTGTATGATATAGGTCAAATATTTCATGAAGGTATTTTTCCATTTGGGATGGCGTGTCAATGATATTTATACCTGAAAATTTTATATGCAGCCTATTTTTACAATATTTAATATAACTATTAGGTTAACAAATTATAATATATTGTGTATATTTAATAGAGCCAATAAGACCAGCTCAAAAGGATCTGAAACTCCATCCAAAAAAATAGAAGAAAATGCCCCACCTCAATGTGTTATGGATTTTTTTGCAAAAGCAGGAAGTGGAAAAAACTTCTCTGAAGGATTACCATCATTATCTAGTTATGCAAATACACAAAGTACGCAAACTCCAGCTTTAAAAACAGTTTCTAATGAATCTATGTTGCACAAGTTGATAGCTAGTCCAATTCATACAGTAGAACAAATTGAAATGCAACAAAGGTCAGCAACACCTAGGACAGATACCTTGGTTCCAACTCATATTGAACAAGCTAAGACATGTTCATTTAATAACATAAAGCCCAGAAGTTTAATAAATCAATTAAATCAACAAGATGAAGATGATACTTCCCATGCTAATCGCAATGGATATCATCGACCGCAAGATATTAAAGATAATTCATTTAGTACATCATTGATTGAACATTTTCTTAATCAAAGCGATCTATCAGAAAAATCAAATATAACTATGGGTAAATACTAAATATATATTTGTATTATAATTACAATTCGTTAAAAATAAACATTACATTTATTTAACACCTATAGGTACTTATTTAATTGTATTTTAACAATTGTAGTTTACCATAAATACCTTATTTAGATAACCTGTCATTTGGTCCACTAAATTTTATCCGGTTATAAAAGAACCTATACAATTAATATCCAGCTAAAAAACATCCAGTAAAAAAAAATATAAAATATAAAATGCAAATAGATAGAAATTATAATTATAATTTAAAAAAAATAATCTATAATTCTATAGAATATTATAGTTTATAACTACGTTACTTTTATAATTCCAGTATATTATTATGTCTTAATAAATAATTTATAATTTATACAGTAATTTGACATTATTTTTTTGGCTGTCTTCCAATATGTGTTCTACCACAATTTGAGGTTTATATCGTTCATTTAGACTCACAATATTACGGATATCTACCTCACTTAGCTAATAATGCTCTTACAAAACAGGATCAAGAGTTTATACTTTGTACTTTGCCTTTGAAAGATAGCCATTTTTTTAACCAACGTCTTTAAAAATTATGAAAATAAAAATATAATATTAATTTCTATATATTTTTATTTTATTTTTTACTGACTTTTAGCTAGTGGTTGTTAATTTTTTTTACCGGATATTATTTATTATATTGGTATTTTTGTACAGATTTTTTTTAAACTGGATTAATGGTCACCGTTTATAATTTACTGGACCAATTGACGTGTAACTCCTTTTTTAAATGTTTAATTTTTGTTATAATTATTTRTTGATTATACTTTTATGTTTTAGGTGCATGTATGCCATTAGAATCACAAATTGATTCAGATGAGCTTATGCCACCAACTAGGTTTATATTGGATGAAATTGAAGATGAACTAGTTACCTCTTCAGTAAATGCAATGTCAATAACAGAACCTAAACATCGGGAACCAGCATCTAATAAATCTAATAATAAACTGGAACCATTAACAAAGAATCAGTTATTACAAGCTTTTGAATACTTATTAAAAAATGATCCAGATTTTATGGTAAAAATACATGAAGGTTATGTAAAGTCGTTATTACGGAATTAAGATTATCTATTTGGATTCCATTACTTTAGTACAAGTATGACTATTTCTTTTTGACAAAAATTGCATTATTTTTTAGCAACATATATATTTTTTTCCAAACAATAATAGTTTTTAATTGCTACATAGATAATAAAATAATACAAAAACAACTATTCCCTATTTTATTTTGTGAATTGAAACTATTTTATTTCATACAATGTGCATTCTGGTAGTATCTGAGAAATTCAAAACAAATGCATGTATAGAATGAACATTTTGATTTATATTTTGAACGTTGTAGGTACTTCAAAGTATTATTTTCACTATGAATAATTATTTAAAAATAGTATTTCAATTTTTTTGACCGAAATAACCATACAATTATTACAAACTGTCATATATTTATGCTGTTCATTAATATGGCTGTTTGATATGTTAATTGATAAATAATCTTCTGGTTTATTTACCTTCCAATTTATTATTTGTTTTATTTAAAAAAGAAGACAGGTAACTTCAATGTTACCTATTTAAATTATAAATTTTCTTCAAAATTAGATGTCTGTATTTTTAATTATGTATAATATTAGATTATAATAATTATGTAATATAAAGAACCTGTTAAAATTAAGCTTTAAATTTATCAATTTCAAATTAAACACAGCTGTGTATTAAGTTTTAATGTTGATACTGTTAATAATTTATGAAAATGTATTGATGCATTTTCGCCATTTTAAATATATAAAAAAATAAAGTAATGGAATTTTAGTTTTGCTCCAAATAATAATATACGAATACATTACAAACAAATTATATATTATAATTTCTTTTAGAAACCTAAATTATTTGAAAACTGCTTCGAATTCATTGTCCTCTAAATCTAAAATATTTTACAAATTTCTTATAAATAGCTTAGCCATCTACCTTTTTTAATTGAATACTTTTATAGTTATGCTCTACGCTGAGATACTATTTTGGAAGATCTGTTGTATAAAATCGTATATATTGACAATTAGATAATCAATTAATTATATATAATTCATTCCTTAATAGGTACACTCCACGTACAGTTAGGGATTGTTTATCACTGTTGGTGGTAATTTGAATAAAGCTACACTAGGTATCAGTATTAAGGGTAATATTAGTGACAATAAATTATCTATTTATTCTATGGTCAAACTGAAATATAAGATTTTAATTGATTTATAGTAGTTCTACATTTGTTTTGGAAATCATAAAATTTCTTTTATATCCTTAAATATAATTTTTAAACAGCAGATATGATTTACATTTTACATAGATAAATAGGAATAAAACTTTAATGTATTCTTTTTTATTCCCAAATAAACTATTAGTATCCGTGCAAGGATTTTTATTGATAATATCCATTAGTTCAAATAATTAAATAATATTTAGAGCAGTGGCAAGACCTGCATTCTACTTTTTATCGGATGTACTCCGCAAAAATTAATGATTTTTTCATTCAACATAATATTTTATATTAATTTAATCATTACACCAGAACCACCACTCATTTTTTTTTAAATTTTAGAAATTTACGTAAATTCATCTCCATAAATCATAAGTTAATAAATTATAGTCTTAACTATAGGGTAGGTTAAGTCAGCAGTTCTTAAAGTTTGAGTTAAGTGGCCTTGATACAAAATTTTTAGAAATCATGGAATCCAACCAATTTTCTTTCGAATACTCTTTTTTTTTTTACTTGGTATAATTATATCTTATGCTATAATAATCAATATTTTAATAGGTACTTATTTCATATTACAAATCACATAAGCAGGTACATTAAAGCATACACATTAAAAATTATTTTTAACACCTATCGTGATTCAAAAAATTTTAATATTTTATTTTTAGACAAAACGCTGGTGCGAACTTATGACTTTAATGTTGCAAACCACCATACGTTACTTGGCAGTAGAGAGCATACCTAATAATCAATAAAAAAGTAACTTCAGTCATTTTTTTGTTGGTAAAATTAATGGTTGGTCTGTAATTTTCATAAGCGTCAGGGCAAAACAAAAAATTTTAAATTATTACAATATTTATTATAGTATACTTTAGTATACTATACTGTAACATTAAAAAAAACATACAAAGTATAATAATATACAATATTATACATATACCTAGCCACCTAGGTGTAAGTCATTAATCAATTGATTTTTAAAATAATCTAATAATATTTAATTTATCCGCAAAATACCATGTTTTTTTTGTTACCTATATTTATAACTTTTGCCGAAATTATCTGAGAGAAATTCCTTAAGAGGACGCTACACCCGCATCTGTTGTCTCCGTCTTACAAGTGCGTAACATGGCAAATTTTATGCTCAGCAGAACAAGTTCCGTTAGTTCAAAATGTAGAGTAAATTGACCTCTTACAAAAATGAAAGGTAACATTATTATCGAGGACATCTCGTAGGCTTTTTATTATAGTTTAATTTAAAAGTGAGTTAAGTGTATTTTAAAATTGTAAATTGTTTGTATATCTTAAAATACACATAACTCATTTTAAAATTAAAATATAATAAAAAGCCTACGAGATGCCCTCGATAATAATGTTATCTTTAATTTTTGTAAGAGGTCAATTTACTCTAAATTTTGAACTAACGGAGCTAAACGTGATCTCTGCTAAGCATAAAATTTGCTATGTTACGCGTTTGTAAAACGAAGACAACATAATATGCGGGTGTAGCGTCCTCTTAAGAAGAAATGGCACCTACAAGTTTTAAGATTTTTAAACAATTTACAATTTTAAATACTTATAACTCGCCTTAAAATTAAAATGCCTTTGAAATTTTATTTAATTTTACCGTTAAATTATTTAAGAGGTTAATTCACTCTAATTTTTAAGGCAGAGGAGTAAAACAAGAACTTCTGAACATAAATTTGCTTTGTTACACGTTTATAAGACTTGAGATATACGAGTGTTGCGCCCTCTTAAAATATAACTGATATTTAATTACCTCCGTTCACTTTCCCACGTTTACTTCCAGTGTTAAAATTTGTATTATTTTTCAATGTCTTTACTAATATTGTACTTTTTTTTTGTTCTTTATTTGAGATAACAATCTATAGGTACCTTAAGCCTTAGGGCCACAATCACAATTAGTTTATGAGGTAAGTGTAGAATACATACAAATTAATTTTATTAATCACGTTCGAAATTAATAATTTGTCCTGTGTAAATAAGTTTACCTATTTTGGGGCACAACTTAGGCTTAACTATCGTACTTACTGAATTTATTTGAAAAGTGTATTATGTTTTACGCTAGAGTACAAAAATCTAAATTGCTGCGGCCGCGGTACGACATAGTATAACACATTTATACACAAACACCACCCCAAAACCATCCAACTTTGGGAGACTATATCTCTTCAACTGATTAACGAAAAATGAAAATTTAGTTAAAGTGAAAATTCATTAAAAAATAGCCTTATTAATTTATGATATTGTTAATATAGGTTGCCATTTAAAAATCAACAGTTGATAGTGGTTTACCTAATAAATATAAGGGTGAAAAATATTAAAAATTTATAGTCTTAGAACAGCAAAGATCTAAAATAAAAAATAAAAAAAATTTGAAAAAAGTAAATAATTTTTATAAATAATGAGTGTTTTACGCCTCACGAATCACCCTGTATATTAAAAAAATCAAATTTTGTAAACCTTCTTTTTTAATTTACTTATAAAAAGCGATTGGATAAAGCTATTAAAAAAATAGTACGATTTTACACAGATAAAGTTCTCCTTTACGGGTTGTGAAAATTTAATAGTTCTACAGCAAATATGGTGCAAGAAAAGTTGTCTCACGCAAAATAATTATTCTAATCAAATTACGGGTGGTGTGACTCCTCTTTAGTAAATTGGTATTAATTCATGTGTGAATGTTGATTTCGTAAAAAAATGTTAATTAACTTACAGTTTACACTCCTATTCTTTTATAATTATAGTATGAAAAACATATCGACAATCTTGTGTTAAATCTTCAATTCTTAGTTTTTTATACAAAATTGTCTATACATTTTTAACTACAAAAAAGTTAGTAAATATTTGTGATGTTGACAATTTATTATTAAAAAAAAAATTCAAATAATTTAAATGATTATCTGCACCACACATATTTTTCTGAACGTTACGGAGTTGAATTATTCATGTTCATTTCTTCTTGATTTAGAGAATTACTTTCAACAAACGTAGTATCAATCCAATTTTTTAGTTTTTTTTTTTACAAATGTCAATTCAATTAATTGTTGGGTAAAAAATGTGATAATTTAATATAATACTCCTGATTTATTGTTACAATACCAGTTGAAAAGTATTAAGAATATAATATAGGCAAATTTTTTAGTTATATTTTAGTTACATGACGTATGAAATGTTCAATTTTTATAGTTATGGAATAAAACTTAAAACATGGTTCCACATAATTATGTGGAAAAAGTTATCCTGCAACCAAAAAAATGAAATAAATAAATTTGTATAATTATTTTATGGTCAAATTTGGATGAAATGTATTTATAAATGACCAAGAATAACAATTTCATTTATTTTGCTGTAGTTTACAAATCTTATTCGTGGGTAAGTACTTGAAACTTCTCGTGTATATTATTATCAGTGGCGCCGAGCGCTAAAAAAAGAAGGTCCTACTATTGTCAAATTTATTTTCAGAAGGTACCTACCATATTCACCAAAAATATTCAACCAAGGTTATTATTATAATACTTTATATTACCATCTACGTTATACAAAAACTTATACTTTCTTAGTTATAAAATGATTAAATTACAAAACATAAAAAACCAACATCTGACAAAACACAAATTTCATTTTGCTTAATGTTTTTTATAGTATGTCGAAGTTATAAGAGGACGTCTCATCCGCAAGTGTTGTCTTCGTCTTACACATCTACTAGATATCAAAATTTCGTTAACTAGTTTCAATAGTGCGCTGCAATTTTGATATTATAGAGCGAATTGACTTATTGTTGAAGTTTTAGGTAAGAACATTATCTGTGTTTTCTCGTTGGTTTTTTTATAATATTTTTAATTTTTAAATGATTTATGAATACCTATGTAAAGTAAAAATATTTAAAATGTGCACATTAGTTCCGTAACTCG